ATGCTTTATATCTTCATGCATCCACAGGGTAGGTAAGCAATTGTGAAAACTGACCAAATCCTAGACTTATCATCTTTTGTAAGGGGATAGGCTTGTAATCTTTTCCTTGATAGAAGACGGCACTTAGAAAACAGTTACAGAATTCATCTCTTTTCATACATACTGTCCATGTACAGTAGGTAAGTAAAGCTGGCATTGATCCCTGGTAACTGCACTAAGCTGTTAAAAGCTAATCTAACTAAAAGAGCAGCAAAGCCCAGGATGAACAGAATGAAGGATAAATGACAATAAAACCTACTCAAGTTGAGCAACAGGAGGAAAAACCTGAATAAATAAGTGGAGATGTGATGAATGAGTGGATGTGGTTGTTCTTTTTCGTTATAGTTTTGGGTTCAGAAGGAAGGGTCACTGACAATCGGTTTGTTTTGTTGGTTAAAATTACTTTTATCTATAATGACAGATTTCCATCCTTATTTAAGTCGTTTCTTCTAGGTCAATGATTCTCCGATTCTCAGAGGACAATCAAATAGTTTGAGAAGTACAACCAAAGTAAACGTCTATACCTTCATGAAGTCAGATATACAGAGGGTGCATCTACCAGGTTTGACAGCCAAAGTGTGCATCACTGAATCTGTTGTGTCAAGGATATAAGGAGCCTTTAGCCATGGTCAGATGATGTGAATAAAGAGGCATTTAAATGACAATCATCAAGCACAAATGTAGGGACATTATTTAGAAAAAAATGGCCTTCTCCATCTGGGGAAATTTCAGAACTGAAGAATCTGTGCCAAAGTACACAACCTGTTCTGGTGGCTATGTGTGGCCCAGTGTCTTACTAACACACTTTTTGTTTGCCACCCGCCCATCTTTATATAACCTTCATGTTTATATTTTCTCTTAAAAGCTCTGAAATGCAGAATGTCTAATCCAGGACTATGTCGGAGCAGCATAGTGTTGTGATATCTAAATCCAACCCTTGAGAGTCAGGCTCTGTGTGTGTGCGCGCGCATCTCTATGCATGCTCCACAGTACGTATTCACTGCAGCCCTATCTGTCAACTGTAGCCATGACCCACATGAAAAAGTTGCTAATGTTACTAATGTAAGGCTTGCAACTGTGTCCTCCTGGCATATCTGCTGTGTTTCTCCACTTGTAGCTGATGATAAGAGTACTGCTGCTGATTCTTCATTAAAGCTGCTATTTCGACTCATGCACATTCATGTGAGCAGCATCACTAAACTGAACACGGGCAATTAAGCTTTAGAAAGCAAGCTGTATTCATATTCAGCTCTCTCACTATGTCTTCATGCGATTGTTTTTCAATTCTCTTCCGACTCACTCAAAATGTGATGCATGCGACTTTCAGAGAGTTCATGTCATTTCACGAACCGCACATTCGCTGCTGGAGCAAGTAGTGCGGTTATGTGCATGCACTTTGACTGTATGCACGGTATAGTCACAGTCAGGCAGCATTAGCATCAAACTACTGCCAGAGGTGTCCAGAGTCAGCTGATTTCAAGCGACTGATTCTACACTTACATGTCAGGAAACAAGTTATTCAGCGGATGTGTAATATGGTTTTAGCTGACGCCATCTAAATAGCTACTAAATGTCCTTAGGTAAATAATTTAATGAACATGTAATTGACAATTTGTGCTAACTAAAGATTAAATATTGCATTACTGGGGGCGCCCTGATAGCCCAATGGTTACAACGCAGCACACCCTACACACATCCACAGTGTGTGCACGACGTCTGTAGTTTGAGTCCAGCTGATGACATTTATCACAGGTCTCCCTGTGTCCCTCTTTTCTTGTTTGCCTCTCCACGACCCACAATCCAACCAGTTCCATTCATGGGAATGGGACAGACATGAGGTCACTGACAGTAAAATATAACCAGTTCATCCTGGAGTCCAACTGGACACTTCTGCCAAATTTGAAGAAATTCCCTAACATATCGTATTAACAAGAATGGGAGAGATGGATTAACAAGCTGAAAACATAATGACTCCAGCAGCAGCTATCACTGACACGGAGGCATATAAACTGTATTACCAAAGTACAGATAAAACAAATACAATAAAAACTAGCAGGTAGCTCCCAGCTGACCTCACATCAGTGATTCTATCTAGCTGGTGACATGAATCAATATCCCAAAAACAAAGTCTCAGTTTAAGAGTTTACATGTTTGTTTGTTTTTGTGCATCCTAGGTCAATTGAATTAATACTTCTGCCTCCTCAGGCTTGAAACAAAAGTTTGCATCCAACAAAATCGGTATCTTTTTCCAGGTCAGGTTCACTATTTGTCTCCAGCATATTCATGTACTGATGCTCAGAATGCTCTGAAAATTCTTTCTAAGCTACTGTAGACAAACACATTATTAGTAGATTTTTAATGACTAAAAACTAAAGAGGTCATGTTAAAGTTGATAAGTGGGGAAAAAAAAAGATTTGTCTCAGCTGTCATAGATACTTTGCTTCATATGCAAATACAAAATATATTTTCTTTTTTCAATGTGCTTAAAAGTACATTATCCAATTGTCTTTGCTCAGCTGCCCCAGCACAGTTAAAGTGTTAGAAACAAAGCACTGAGAATATTAAAGGTGATTTGCTGTTGAGTGTTTTATGAACAGTCAAATGAACTGTGAAATGTGGTGCTCACTCATTAAGCAAGTTAAATTAGCTTCCTGTTTCATAATCTCACCAGGTACACGCAGATAAAAGCCTCTAAAGTTAATGCTATACTGAGCTGACACAAAGCACCTCAAACAGCATGACCTTTTTGTATACTATGCGTCATCATGAGCATTGCTCAAGATGAAACCTTCGGTCAATGAGTCTATTTTTTTTATCCAGAACTGTAAAAAAAAAGGATTTAAAGTTTGAAAAGGTTTCACATACTAGGGTTTACTCATAGAAAAGGGAGTTCCAACTCAGTGTTTTCTATAGATCTACATTAAAATGTACTAAGGCCTCATTAATACCTTAATCATAAAAACATTTACTTACACACCAAATCATTTATTGCTGAAAGCAAGGATACATTAATGAATGTCTCTGATTAGCACCACTTAAATATTAATAATTGTGCTTTCAAATATTAGCCCTAAAATTGTGCTTTAAGCTGTTCCTGATTTCTCAAAAGTGCTTTTGCACAATCTGTGCATTATCAAACAGTTACACAACACTATCAGTTTTAGAACAAGTGTCATTTACTGCAACCAACTGTGTATTTTCTGTATAGCTCTTCTTTGCTTGCCTGCAGTGCAAGAAATGAAGGAATGAATTAGAAGAGCTTCTCTCGAAGCTCCATGTCTGAACAAATGTATTACTTGCATGCCAATGTTAGTAGATTAGCTCTGTAAATTCCTATGACAAACACCTTAAATGAGCGAGAAGCTCCCACCCTGTCAGCACTGTGGGTTACAGTTCCTTCTCCTTGCTGTATCCTTCTCCCCTCTTTGACCATACCTCTACTATGGTTTCCCCACCCACCAATAGCAGCAGCTCTGTACCTCACCAGATCATCTCTAATTACACACTCATTTGCTACCTAATCTCCACAAACACACTCAACACAGAAAACCACATGATACTGGAAACTCAAATGTTGCTTCCACAGAAAAATGTCAAGACTTTAGTATTTGAACAAACTGTAGAGTTGAAGAGACTATGGCTGCACAGCAGGAAATCTTGTTTATCCAACTGCCTGCTGAATCCCTCCCTCTCTCTGAGATTCCCTGGGATTACACGACACATTGTCTCAAAGTCAGTTTGTAAACCACATCACTTTGTTTCAAATAGCCTTTGATGATGACCTGCAAATTTTCAAATGGTAAATCTGTGCTTGCTGTAAATCCATCTTTTTGGCAGCGTCCCCAGACCTAGGGTTCAGGGTTGGCTCCTCCACAAAAGCTGAGCCAGGGATGGGATCCCAAGATGATTATGCAGTATATTAACCAGTCATGGTAATGAAAATGCACTGTTTCTAATTCAGCTGCATCAAACCTGCTGTAATTATTATGAACACAGTTTATTATGTTGAAATTCTGAAAAGAAAAAGAGGCACAATTTGAAAAATATCTTTCTGTAAAGCAGCAGACAGAACACTTTTTCATCCAAATGATTAGATAAGTCCTTGAGGATTCTGGAAATAGTGATAAGACAGAGTTTTAAATGACCATGATTTTTAAAAGATTGCTGGATATGTACTTTTCAGTAAACATTATGCTTAGAATTTTGTCTTTATATTTGTTTAGACAAAATATATCCATGAACAGGATGGATCACTAGTGTATTATGCAGCATCATTCAGCAAGTGAAACCAGTACAATGACGATAATAATCTGAACTGTAGTATTAATGCTTTTATTTGTGTCCTATGACAAACAGAACTCCCTCCTGTTTGCCTTCTGCTTTGACTTAAGCCTGGCAGAGCCAACATGTTCAGCACTTTTACTGGCCATTAAGCACTTTTACACATTTTTTAAACTGTTTATCTCACCAGTGCTATCTGCTCTGTCACTGACAGGAAAAAAAAACGCCGTCTCCTTAACAGCCTCTGTGAAAAGCTCCTTTTCACGCTGTCCATTCATCTAATCTCCACATCTTTTCATCAACCTCCTTTTCCCTGCCATTTGCCCCTCTGTCATTCTGTGCTTGGCATATGTCTCTTTCTGTCTCATTTCCACCGCCATCAATGGTAGACTGTCAACCTTGAAAAATGTGTTTTCACTAAGAGAGCACTAAAAGGTTATAAATTGTACACGGAAGGCTGCATTCAATAAGTCAAAGGTGAATCGTGGGTGTGCAGGTGTGAAGATTGACGGCAGAGAGTAGTAGATCTCAAGGTTTTTCTTTTACTTCAGTGAGATCCCCTTTATAGGTGCTCACTGACCTACGCATCAATAAAAGTTGCACCCAAAGCTACTTAGAGCCGCACTGTAGGCAGTATAGTGATCCGGTAGAAAACATGCAAGCAGAGAAATGTAACTCACCTTTTTATTGTCTCATTTTTTTTCTCTCCTGTGCTTTAATTCCAGCCTCCTCGTCCTTTGTGAGTGCACATTTCTCTACCTAGAAGTGAATAAAGACAGAGTCCATGGTTGAGAATTCGTCACAGCATATCAAAACACTCCTGTGGTGCCCTAACGGCTAATGTACTGGCCCTTGTGCCATGTGCTCACGCTGTGCTGTTGCTCCTTGGTTCTCCCCCAAACTGCAATGTTGCAATTACTGATGAAAATCTGGGGGATGGTGAACAGCACACATCTTATTTTGAAAGAAAAAAAAAAAAGGCCTTTAAGTAGACTCGAAAAGAAAATGGAAAAATTTCAAATTCAGAGTGGATGGATTAAAAGACATTAAAATATCTGTGTGTGTGTAACAGCTGAGCTCAGTTTTGTTTGGTTGTAAAATCACAGCATCAGCATGCTGGCTGTGATCCTAAACCCTGTCTTCTGGGAAGCAACCTCTCAAAAATGGAGGGAGGAGACGTGCAGGACTCATTGTCGGCAAGAACAAAGAAGAGATAAGGAAGGAGAGGAAATTCATTTTAAGCGTATTTGCTGTAAATCTAGTATAGTCCTTGAGCCGCTTTGAGGGAGGGTGAAACCAGTCTTTGTCTCAGGGCAATGACTCACTGGGCTTGACAATAAAGCAGGTCACCAACACTGTGCTCAGATTTCTAATAGCATAAAGCAATGGCTTCTCACTGCTGAGCATTGTTTCCTCACATGAAAACAACTTATAGTCACACCTTATATAACTATCTCTTGTAATAACCCATCAAACTAGATTGATTATTGTGCTTTGGAGAATATACTATCTGTTTGTTTCTGGAAAACATCCATGCCCTGATATCACATGGAGGTGATGAAGATGATGTGGCAGGTAGGTCACAGTGGGGGCACAGAACAGATGGTGGTCTGTCCAACTCTTGCCAGGTGGGACTTGGTTAGTACAGGTTGCACAAACGCACACACCCACACCAGCATCTGGTCCTCACAGGGAAGACTGAATCTCTGCAATACGAGTGTGTAAACAGGCTGTGGTCCCACAGAGTGAGTAATAGCAGGCTTGTGCGCACACACGTACAAATAGGTCAAAGAGAGGGCATTAACATTCAGGAGGTTTCAGGCTCTTTCAAATGACAAATGTTTTCCAATGTAAAGTTCACGCAGAATGAAAACATCACAAATCTAAAACACAAACCTTCATTTATGATGTTTGAAACAGAAAGTTCTGTCTATTTTAACATTTTGTCTGCTGCTCTTCACTTGAAGCTACTTTAAAAAACACATTTGTATAAGTTTGTGTATGTTTATTTTTAGTTTTATTCATCGATTGCAATATTATTTGAAGAAGCAAAGGTTTTATCTCCAAAGTCATTCTGTAACTTGGTTCTATAAAAGGTTCAATTTGTTCATAAATACATTTTTAAAAATCTGTGAGGTTGGTTTGTTTGCTGTGTTGCCAGCATTAAAGCAGAAATGATGCACAATCTGAAGTTATTAAGTACTTTAACAACAACACCATAGGTTCAAAGCAGCTTTTTTCCATTAGCTATTATCAAGCTGGCTCAAAAATGCTAAATTGACAAGCTTATACAAATCTTTGTTATCAAGAACATTTTAAAGACAATGGCAGTGAAAGACAACATTTCTATGTAGAATCAGATGAAAGTTTTGGTTTTTAACCACTAGTTGAGGAACATTCTAGTTCTGTTCTAGAAAACCAAATTCTAGGACTGTGGTGGAAATCTGAAATTTTATGCGTCGTCTCTAAAGTGTTCTTTTTTTAACAATTATTTCAAGTCAGTTTTGCTCTAGGATGTGAAATATTTTCCAAACTTACTGAGATTGCAGATAGAGCCTTTCAATTCCAAGGTATATACATTAACTGAGGGGAGTTTTTAAGAAGGAAACTAGCATTTGCTTTTATGAATATCATGACATTCTAAAAATATGCTAGTGTGGAAACATCAAAATTCACATCTTTATATACACCACTTTAGTTACAAGCGAAAAATGACAACAACTCCAGTCAAAGATAAGATTTCACATCTCCTGTGTCCTCTCTTCTCTGGCAGTCATGTCACCTCTCCAGGGGGGAATTTCAATTTCACACTCTGCTGGTGTGCTTAACACATCCATCACTTAAACACAGGTACAGAAACAAAGAGATGGGGCAATAGCTGGCTTGTTAAAAAATGGATCAACATATGTATACATGAATGAGTAAACAACCAAAAGATGAAAATACATTAATCCAGCAGACAAGCCACTGTCATGCCAACACGTCTTTTAGAGGAGCAATGTCACTGCTCTCAGTGAGTGAACAGCAAAGGAGAAAATGGCCCAATGAGCATTTACAAGCTCTGTCTACTTTCAAATTAAATTCAAGCACATGCACATCAAAATTCTTTAAATTAATTTATTGAGTCCATACAATCAAATCATGTCTGGGTCTTTATTATGGTGTATTAACATGTGTGGACAAGCACCCCTTTAATTTATTCAGCCAAAGTAGACTTAAGCAGCTAAGCTTCGTCATAATCAGCTGCAGCATGTTAGCTTCACTGTATTCACTATGGAGATAAAATTCACTACCTGTAAACTGAATAATTCAGGAGCACACAATACATACCAAAAAAGGTTTGTCAGAAGGGGAAATGACTGTGGCTTCTATGCACAATAAGTGCAAGTTGGGAGAGCAATTTACAGTGAGAAACAGGTATAAGACAGGGATGAAAATAACAGGGGAACATAAGCAGAAAGAGAGAAAAGAATGAGAGGAAAATAAAACGAGAGCTGCACCCACAAGTGAAATACTTTTCTGGTAAAAAAGCTGGAGTGTGATACGGAAATAGGCCCCTCTGTATTCATGAATCTCTTAGAGCACAATCAATGGGGTAAGCGATACATAAAAGATGAGGCAGAGCGTGACCTGTGCACCGAGGGGGTGGGGAAGTGTTCTGCAGAGCCAGGACCGGAGGAGATAGCAATTTGGACGCTGTCAGGGCATCCTTTGAAGTTTTGGCAGATAAGGATGGGCTGTGGACCTGCTGCATTAACCCCACAAGGCCCAGCTCTGCTTGCACTGAGTCAGCAGCAGCAGCAGCAGCAAGCTGCCTGCCTGGCCGTCGTGATGCACACACATGAAAGGGCCTTTATCTAGTTGAAAATCAAGATCAGTACAGATTGAAAGTCACACTAGTGCACATGCACACAGACACACTAATAGACTGTTGCTTGATTGTTTGAGGCATGAGGGCACTCTGGTGATAAACAGAAATGAATCACGTCAGAGAGAAGATTAGAAGGGCTGTGGAAAAACAGAATTATTGACAGAAAAAGGAGGATTTAGATTTAGCTCTGCCAGTCCACAAGAACTTATAAATCCTCGTGATGACTCAGTAAGACCATCTCAGGTCACTTTGGACTGACATTGCTCAGGAAACTGTTAAGACCAAGATGTGACCGGACTTTTTCCATTAGGTTTTATCCCAACACTGCAAACCCTGTCAGCTATACAGACACCATTGTGTCCCTTAAAAACCTGAGCACCACACCATGGATGAGGGAATGCATGGACACAGCGTCAGGCTTGAACTTCTCACGTATCAACAGAAAAACTTGAACTAATCCGATTCAAATCATTGACTGCACATATGATGGGCAGTGTGACAGCTCCCAGAAGTGGAGCCACTGCAAATTACCCCTTGGTGGCTGGTTGCAGTATCACTCATAAATCCCACCTCCTCCATGTTAGCGAATGGAACATGAGCCAAACTAAAAACTCAATGTACAAATCAAAGAGAAGACAGAAAAATGTTGCGCTGCTCAAACCAACTTGGACACAAGTTCTGTCTGTGAATGTACATGTGTGTGTTTACCTGTGACTGTATGCGTGATGTAGTGTGTGTTCCGAGAGGTTTTACAAGGGCACTGAAATGTGTACAGTATTTGCAATTGAAATGCAGGGCGTCATTCAGAGGCAGGAGGGGCTGATGGCGCCCCAGCTGGCTGCTTAGACTTCCACATTTAATAAATTCACAGTGCTGTAATATGAGAACCACACACTGATGACAGGTAGTTATTTATTAAAAAGCAGGTATTTACACACACAAACACAACAGCTGTGAATTCAGGGGACACTTAAGTTGTCCCCCTTCACAAAAACAAGCTAAATTGCTATAAATGCATTAACCCTAATGCTCTACACAACTAAAAATTCTCATTAAATGTCAGTATTTAAAAACAAAACTGGTTTAACTTTTGTCTAAGACATTCCTGGGTTCAGAACAGAGCGTATGTTACTGATTGCCAAGCCGTCTAAACCCTTGCAACCCTTACAAATCTGGACAGCTGATATTGGAGCCTTTTACACACTCCTCTCAAAGTTGATCACCACCAATAAACTCTCAGCCTGCAGGAAACACTGGGTAAAGCAATAGACAGAAAGCAAAATAGCATTTAGGACATGTGCTGATGAAATCCTATAAGATAAAAAAGATGCATAATGAAGATATAAAAAGAGATGTGATACCTTTTGTCATTGTCTCTCTGTGCACATCTTTCTTTCTGACATCACTGTCAGTAGATATCAGGACAGGATATGGGTTATATCTTAGAATGCATATGAACAGCAGCCAAAACAATCAGAAAAGAGCTGTGTGTTTGACTTTGAGCATGAAGGCCTGTGTTGCACAGGAGTAAAGGAGACTTATGGTGCATTTGCAGTCTGATATTGAAATTAATATCAATGTGATATCTGTGGAATCATTAAGAATCTCAAGAGTCATTCTATGTACGTTGTTCTGCACCTCAGTCTGACTCAGTAGATGTTAATGGCTGAGACAAACCCTCTACTGGCGAACCTTTGCTTACTGCCTCCTTTCACTCCCTTCAGGCATCTGTTGCCATTTTCACTGTTAACCAACAATGACATACACCTGCCTAGAGGACACATCCTGATTGTATATACAAAGTGCACACCCGCGTTCAGACTGAGTTTCAAAGATGTCAAAAACGCAGCCGTCTCCATTCATTTCTCTGGGGGATTGCGTTCGCCAC